GGCAGAGGATGCTTTGACCGTTTATGCACAAGGGCTGGCCCTGGGCTCTAGGGCTGCATTCTCCATGCCTTTCTCACTTGCACACACAGCAGTGTGGCAGAGCTACTTTACTGTTTACTCAGTTTGAAGCAGGCACTGGTTTGCCAGCAACTTTTACTGGTGGTGGTTTTTGAAGTCCATGCAACTAACAGATGTTTGTTGTTGGCTCCATATCTACATTCTTTGAAAGCTGGAAAATCAAATTGCTGACATTCAGACAACATTAATTCCCATATCCAGGGAGCCTAATTTGCTGTCCCCGAGATCCTGATTCCTGGTGTTCACGGGTTTAAAAACCATTTCAGTGACACAATATAAGAATGGGCTTGGGAGATGCAGTGCTGTCTCCACTGAAGATAATCACATTTTATAAACATCTGCGTCATTACTGGTATGATTCATCTCTAAGCTGTATACAGCTGTGTTTCCAGTTTCAATTAACAATCCCTTAATTGCATATCCATCTCATGTTACTAATTTAGTTAATTTATTCATAATTAAGAGTATTCTGTTTTCTACCAAGGTTTGTGGAGCTCAGAACATTATAAAGAGAAATATTTTAAGGCAGCATCTCTGAGGGATTTTGTTTCTTATAATCACATCACAGTAAAATGTCATTCATGCACCCAAAGGAAGATGAATTGCTAAGGGATTTTTTCCCAGTAAAATAACAAGCCATAGGAAGCTGCAATGTGTTGTGTTTTTAAACCAAGTTAAATGCTCTGCATTTTGTTCTTTCCTTTCTCCTTTCCTGACACCCTCTCAAAAAAATTATCATTTGATTTGGATTATTTAAGTATCACAGCAAATCCAGTCACCAGTGCAGATAAAACTGTCATTACCCTGTCAGGTAATGGTGTCTCTTAAAATCTAAGCTATAAAATCTGTACATTTCAGAGGACATTAAGATCACGAATTTTAAAATTGCCAATGCCTAAGCAAGTGGAATACATCCTCATGGACAATGGAAGGCAGATGATAACATGATACTAGGCAGTTAATTCATTTTCGTTTGACCTTTCCTAGAAAAAATGCACATACCCTTGCCACAAGGGTCTCTCCTGTGTTAGTATATGTCTGTGTGTCTGTGTGTCAACAGCAGCAATGATAAAAAAATAAAGGATGCATTGTTTAGGTCCAGGAACTGCTACTGATAGCTTCAACCTATCTGTAGGCTTAAACACAAGTCTCCTAACCGTCCAGTACTCTGCAGATTCTACACAGTGAAAATAACAAGCTATCTTTGGCCTTGCACAAATTTAACTAATAAAAAATCCACCATCCCTACCCCCTCCTCCCCCTCTGGCACTTTCCTTGACCCTCAAGAAACCATGCATATTATTCGCATATTCTTCCACACATGCAGTCATCCATTACCTACTTTACTGAACTCCCACTACCTGTCTGTCATTGTGCGAGATACTGCAAGTTACATTATAATCAGAAATGGTCATGATGTCTACCTTCATCGAGCTTTCAACCTGGAGGAGCAGTTGGACATAACTCAAATAATCATATAAGTAAATGTAAAACTGCTTAATGAAACCAGGAAGATACGATTAACAATACTGAATACCTAACAAGACAGATAGAGGATTTTCAGTTAATGGTAGTTTAGGTCTTAGAGTCGTGTTTCTGTTTTCCCTTAACTAGTTTCAATTTCTGACAAGGTTTAAATTGTTTATCTCAGTATGAGGGGAAAGGTTTGAGCATCAGGAACAGGTGATATTGTTCATTCCTAATATACTTTTCAAAGTAACTGTGAAAGGAAAAATGGTAGTGTATGTACCTTATCCTATGCCTTTTAATTCTGAGCTCTGCTATTTATTTAAATAATTTCTATCTTAGAAGGGCAAGACATAAGAATAGGTAAACATTTTCTAAACTGACACTGGCAATAAACTCATTTGTTTTACTATGTATGAAAGCCATTAGCTTTCAACATTAACTTAAAATTTAGGTATAGGGGCCAGGCAAAATTTTAAACATTTCTGAAAGTCCCACCTTACCCCCACATCCACAAAATTTTTTCCCATATTGTTGTAGGTTTATTTTTGTATGTTCATTTATTTTAACATCTTAAATCTGAATTAAACAGGGGGTAGGAAGTAAAAACTATTAGCTATGTGTTCCCCAAGTGTGGATAAAGTGAAGGTTCCTGTGGCCTGGATTCTCACCTGGACCTGGTTGGCTAGCTCACTACACACATGTGGGCAATACATCATTATTGACTCTATATAAAGAGCTCTGCCCAGTGCTCTGGGTGACACAGTGGCACAGCTGCAAGGCTGCAGGAGAGCAGAGACGAGACTGAGATGGCTCCCCGGGGGGCAGAGAGGCCCAGAGGCAGAGACTGGTTTGCTGCATGCAGACTGCCTCTGAGTGGATGGGATTCTAGTGATTGACCTGCCACTGTGGGGATAAAGTTGGGTATAACCCTTTCACCCCAAGAACATTCCACTGTCATTTCCCTGGTCTCACTGAATCCATAGTAAACTTGTCCAGGGCTGAAACCCATTGGGAAGACAGTTGGCATAGTCAGCAGGGTTCACTGTTGACCAAGGAAAAGAACAGGCTGCCCTCATGACAGGGGTGCTTCAGCAGCCTGCACCTGTGGATGGGGAGACATTCAAGTATCCCTCAGTGGACATGTGGTCCAATGTGGCTTGCCTCCTAGAGGACTGGACTCCACCCCAAGACTGGGAAGGGGCGGAGGCAACACCTGAGACAGTAAAGTTGGCCCTTAGCAAAACAGAGAATTCCTTAGAGAAGCAATGCCCATGAGGCAGTAGAAACGGTGGGGAGTTTTTTCCTCACAATATTGAGAAAGGCTGTAAGGGAGAAAGACACCCTCCTGCAGGAAGCATGAGAAGAGGCAGCATGAGAATGTGAGCTGCGAGGTGCCATTGAGGAGGTAAAAAAATTTTTGGTGATTGAAATGGAGTCACTACAAGGTGCTATGGAAATGGTAAAGGATGTTGTGGGAGCCTGAGAGGAAACAGCGCAAGAAGGAGCGGCAGCCTGAGAAGGATTGGCACAAGAAGCAGCAGCACGGGGGTGCAGGCTGCCGGGTGCCATGGGGCAGGTGCAGGATGTAGTGGAGCCGTCAGCCCCAGAAATGGAGGAGCAGAGGTTCGATGAACAAATGGGGGTGGAGACCCTGCCAGTGCCAGAGGCATCAGCCCCTCCCTGGTTGAAAGCTGGTGGAGAGCCCAAAGGAAAATAAAGACTCGGCAACCGTGGATTCTTCCAGGAGAGGTGCACCGCCTCCCCAGGCTGTGGAGCACTTCCGTGCTCTGCCTCCATCCTCAGGCTCAAGCAATGAAAGCACAACAGGAACTATGGTCTGCTACTCTAAGGAAGAATTTAAAGGGCCCCGTGAAGGTCACGAGGACCCAGATGTGGGTTGATTTGGTAAAAACAGGAGCCGACAGAAAGAAAGTGGATGGAGGGTCAAATAGACTCTTACTGGAGCTGTGGCAACAACTGAAACCGGAGCAGCAGTTGCAGCCACTGAGGAAGAAGCAAAAGCCAGAGACAAAGCAACAAGACCAGCCTGTGTGTCTGCAAGACTTTTTGCTAGAGAGGCTGGAGAAGGTGGGTATTGTAAGGCCCACCCATATTTCTTTTGGTCAACTCATTTGAGTAGAACTGGTTCCAATACAGCCTGTATGACCACTTGGTGGCAATGGATCTCCTCAGGCTTGAGGGTTATTATAATTTGTCGTAATTTTTGTTATTTGTGTGTTGTATTATGTTATTATAGAATTTGGTTACATGTTCCAGCTTCCTCACACAGGGACCATTGCAGAGGATTGAAGGCACATAGATTGGGAGGCAAGAATCCTGGAGGGGTGGAGTGTGGAGAAAGTGAAGGTTCCTATGACCAGGATTCTCACCTGGCCCTGGTTGGCTTGCTCACTGCACATGGTGGGCAATACGTTGTTATTAACTCAACATAAGAAACTCCGCCACTGGGAAGAGTGCTCTGGGCAACACAGTGGCACGGCTGCGAGGCTGCAGGAGAGCAGAGCAGAGGCTGGAGTGGTGGCAGCGCTGAGGACAGAGACCGAGTTGGCTGTGGGAGCAGAGACACCAGCTTGCTGCATGCAAACTCGCTCTGAGTGGACAGGATCTTCGTGATTGACCTGCCACCATGGGAATAAAGTTGGGTATAACCCTTTCACCCCAAGAACACTCCAGTGTCATTTCTTAAGTCTCACTTAATCCATAATGAACTTGTCCAGGGCTGAAACCCATTGGCAAGACACCAAGGTTGATAACAATTTTAAGTAACACCCCAACCTATTATACAGGTCCATAGTCTTGAAGATATTTTCTCAGCTCCTTTGTAGAATAAAGGGTTTTTGAAACCAGAACAGATGAGATTATTTAGGCCAAACCCCCTAGTTTATAAATTAGGAAATATATTCTGGTTGATTTAGCCAAGATAGTGTCACATGTTAAAAGATGATCAGAACTCAAACCTAATTCAACAGTCTTTTCACTATATCCTGTTTTTTCCTTATAGAAAACAAAGATGTCTCCTTTTCAAAAATTTATGCTATTTATATGAAAGTCAAACATGCCTATTTAAATCATATTTTGCCATTTTGCAATATAACTCATTTAGGGGGTCATTTTTTAGGAGATCCTTAGGTTTGGTTGTACTTGAATCTGGACAGTGCATAATAAGTGATAGAAATAAGAATTTTTAAAGTATAGATGGTCACTTTCATTATCTTATGATGTTTTACATTAATAAAACTCACCCAGAAATGATAACCAAATTTAAATAAAGTTTCCTTATTTTTCCAGAAATCAACTAGAAATGTGAGATTTAGTCTTATATCTCTTATTTGCTTATTTCATTCCAAAGTTTATTTTACACTCTATGATTTTGTGGTTTTATAAAATATGTGTACTCAGCAAAAGAATCTCTTAGAAAAGAAAGTAAATATATCGCTTCTCGGCCTTTTGGCTAAGATCAAGTGTAGTATCTGTTCTTATCAGTTTAATATCTGATATGTCTTCTATCAGAGGACAACTATATTAAGTGCATTTTTGTAGCAGGAAGTTGGAGTAGGAGCTTGCTCCATCCACTTCACGCATCGGCCTGATATTGCAGTGCTTTCAGGAGCGGTGCACCTGTATAAAAAGAAAAAGTAAGTAAATATCACATATGTAAAACAGCTGGCCATTTTTCACCATCTCTGCAGAGAGGGGACCTGAAAGGCAACCCCAGATAGAAACTCAACTCCGCTCCTTACCATGAATGAAGTTCCTTCACTGCAGTCAGAATAGAAATACTTTACACCTTCTCACTTGTTTCACAGCATTAACAGAGTTCCAAGATTCATGCTGCAATATTGCATAATGGTTTGTGTTTTGAATGATGAGAAATGGCAGGGCAGATGAAACTCAGTTTGAATCCTTGGATTTCCAATGGTACTGGATGGGAGTTGGGCACTGATTTCAAGTTGAGATAACAAAGAGAAGCCACTTGATGACTGCGACCAGACAGGACTCTTGTTATAGCTGGAGAGCATGTCTCATGCTTCATGCCTTAGATGGATATGCATGTCTTTAGGGCAAGGTCATCGCCATAAATCCCCAATGGCAGCAGTTGTGTAGAGCAAAAGAAGTATGTGTCAGCACCTTACAACTGAACTTTGTTACATGTCATATAATATGTTATATCTGAATACTAATTCATAGAAATGAGGATTGTAGGCACCACAGTGGCTCCGGCCTTTGTTGCCATGTGGCCTGGGAATACTTTTCTTTACGGGAACATGATGACGAAAATTGCATCGCCCATGCATTTCTTTGCCAGTTCTTTTCTAACACTATGTTCCTGTGTGGTGATCCAAAAACAGACTTTGATGTCAGGTGGGACATTTGCTTTAAACCAGTTTCCTACTTGACGGGATGATGTAAACGTTGCCTGCGAATCATTATTTGGCTTTCAGCTGAAGGTGTTGACTCTTGAGAAAGAGGCAATTGACAAGTGAAACTTGGCTTTTGGTTCTGGGTTTCCCATTAATTGATTCTGGACGTACACATGCAACTGGACTATCTTATTAACAAAATGACCAACTCCTAACATGTAAATGATTTCTCTCAGTGGTTCATGAAGAAAAGTTTCTAAGTTTTCTATCTTCATTGAGCTTATTTTCCAAAACATATATATTACTTTCTGATTTTTTTTCACAGAGCAAAGCAATATCAAGAAATTAATCACCAAAACAGTGGTATATTTTTATTCATCCTCATATTATAGAACACCAGGGTTTTTTTTTTAAGTTTTGACATTTTTTGCAGATGATAAGGTAGTTAAAAAGGAAATTAATAAGATGAGGTTAGCTTGGAAATGACAGAATAAAGGAAGAAATAAAAGAGAAAGGCAATAAAGATGAGTGGATACCAACCAGAAAGATTTTTAAGCTCTGAGAAAATAAAAAGGAGGAAAGCATGCCTATTAATAACATAACCCACTCTCAAATCACACCTCTGCTACCCCATGTGCATCATTTTGGCCCTGGCACCCCATTGGTGCTACTGTTCTATAAGCCATGCCAGCAAACACTTCAGGTCACTTATTTTGGGCTTCACCTTGAGGTTTCAAAATAAGTACAGAACCCAGGGATCTGCCACACTGAAACCTTTATCCATTTAACCATGTCATGAGCATTTATTAAGCAGCTCCCATGTACATAACATTGCTCCAGATAAGTTTTCCCTAGACTGCTGTTCTGTAAGAGAAGAAGAAGGCCCTCAGGGAGCCTTAGAATCCAGCTCTGGAGATGGGTTCAACATTTTTATTATGTAATGATTTCATTCCAATGGTAACAAGCACTTGAAAGGAGAAAAACAGAGGGCTAAGAGAGTGTAATGGTGGAACCTGACCTGGCCTGGTGGTCAGGAAGGTTTACTGGGGAAGTGATTGATATTTTAGATACATACACACAAGCACAAATACATGCAGAATGTATACTGAGTGGCTATGATAAATGCATTTCTTATTCTAAATGATGATCAAAGTTTGAAAACTGTTGTCTCATAATTCCAGTAAGAGTAGGGATCATGTGACCCATTTATCACATGTCTTCCCCAAGGTGTCTAGTGAGGAAGTCATTGCTGAGCAACTACCTGAACACCAAGACCACTTCAGTCATCACTGAAAGCAGAAGGCATGGCGTTCACTGAAGGAGAACTAAAGTTTAAAATTTTTGCATGGGAAGTGTGTGCAGGGCCTGCACCTCATATTCAAAACATGTTACACCTCTCTTTGGATAAACTAGGGGTTACATCTCAGTGGAATAATTTGTGGATCAAGTCCTCGTGCTTTTGTAAAGAGAGGAGGGGCAATAACAAATGGAAATGGGAACATGTAAGTATAGGAACCTTTGTATGTTTAGACCACATTTGCTGATCTGTTCATCCATCCATAGACACTGCGTTGTTTCCTGGTTTTAGCTATTGTGAATAATGCATTGAACATCGGTGTGAAAATATCTCTTCAATATACTGCTTTCAACTCCATTGTGTATGTACCCAGAAATGGAATCAGTGGATGATACGGTAATTCTATTTTCATTTTTTAGGGATTTGCCATAGTGTTTTCCATAGCCAGCCATTGAACCTTTATACATTCCTACCAGCAGTGCACAAGGGTTTCAGTTTCTCCACAACCTCACCAACACACTTGTTATTTTGTTTTGTAATTTTAGCCATCGTTTAAACAGAAAGTTCTTACATATGCTGCAACATGGATGAACCTCAAGGACATTATCCTAAGTGAAATAAGCCAGGCACAGAAGACAAATACTATGATTCCACATATATGACGTGCTTAGCGTAATCAAGTTCAGGGAGATAGGAAGTAGTATGGTGGTTGCCAGGGCCAACGGAGGAGTTGCTTGCTATTCTGCAACAGATAAAAGAGTTGCGGTCCTATGAGATGAAAAAAGTTATGGACATGGATGATGGTAATGGTTGTACAACATTACAAATGTATTTAATACCACTGAACTCTACACAAAAATGGGTAAGGTGACAAATTTTATGTGTATTTTACACAATAAAAACAGAAGGAAAAATATAGGAAAACCTTTTATTTGTTAAAGCAGTAAATTGCTAAAGGAAGTTCTGGCTATTGATATGTATGGAGCTACATGCCCTAGAGCAGTTAAATATCTTCTGAAACTGATGACACAACTCCTTTCTTGTGATTTCCCACTGTATATTACTGTTAACTGCCCTGTATTGTGATTACCTTACTGTATATACAATCTACTTTATTTGCAAGTCAGTCTTCTTTTCCCGCCCTAGAGGTCTCCGCAGAAACATAAGCTGTGAGAATACATTCGCTGTATAAATTAGCTATAGATAGTTATAGTAGTATCAAGAATTACTCCAAATAGCATTTACCTATTTTTTAAGGTGTAGAAGACATCCTTTCACTGCAGTCCTTAGTACTTTTACATTCAACATTTGAGTGAAACAAGACTTTAGAACTTATAAGCTAGTTGATTTCTCAAGCATTAACTCAAGAAGGCAGCCTTTATACCAATCACTTCCATTTACCCAGCACTTACGCCATGAATTTCTGATGTTGCTTGGAACAAATTAATATTCCTGGAATGCAAGCTAACTGAAAGAGCCCTAACAAAGAACAAAGGGTTTACTGGTCCTCATATTGCCCAATTTAAAAGCCAGTGCTTTGTTATGGACTCCTGTTTCCTCTCAGTGTGTCTTTGAGTAAATTGAGAGTAGCTAAAAGCAGAATATTAGTTGAAAGCTTAAAAAACATCACTATATTTCAGTCTCTATTCTTGCTGGGGATTCTCTTATATATGGGGAGATTAGGAAGTTGCCTGGAGGTATTTAATAGTTGTACAAAAAAATCCCTAAACCCCAATATTTATCCATTTACCACTGTTTACTGGCACAGTGACTCAAATCCCCCCTTCTGTGAACTGACCTAAATCAGTCTGGTCACATGCAGCCCTTAGGGTCCTTTTGGTAAATAGTGGAGAGCCAACAAAATGTTTGAGGTGCATGAGGGGAGGGTGGCTGCCTCTTCACAACCCCAGGCCACAACCTCAGACCCAAATCCTCTGCAGGGGAAGAAAACTGATTTTCCCTCCCCGCTTCTCAGTTCTTGGCTGAGACTTCACTGGGATATAAAAATTAACAGCAGAAAAACAGAAGTTTAGTAAACATGCATACCTCCTGTATACAGGGGAGAGACTCAGAAAAACTGAGTAACTCAGAAAAAGGCTTGAGCCACCATCTTAAATACCAGCTCAAGCTAAAGGCTAAGGAAGATGTTGGGGGTGAGGGGAGTCAGGAGAGGTGACCAAGCAAAGCACAGTAAACCATGGTGTGGTTGGTATGCAGATTTAAGCCTCCGCCTTCTCCATAGAGAAGAGTTTCTAGAGATGAGTCACCCCCCCTCTTCCTGGTACAGAGAGGGAGACACCTTTACAAATGGAGATTGCCCTTCTACAGGTGAATGTCCCTTACAAAGGGGTAACCTCTGTGTCTTTAGAGCTTCTCCTGTGTTTGCTGTGTCTTGAAAAACAACCGGCTCGAGAGAAACAGTATGCAAAGGAGGCCTATTTTGAGGTGGCATATTCTCCCCATCAGAGCCCCTAGGAAACTTTCATCACCGGCCACTATTTTCCACAGCACATACACATTTGTGATGTTCATTATGTGCATTACAAAAACCTCTGAGGTTCATAGAGATACAGAGTAGTAACAATCTTTGGGCTTTGAACTTTTTTGGAAAATGAGGGCCATACTCTTGGATTCTTGGTTAAGGTAACCAGTTGCCTCTAGAGTTGAATTTTGCACTAACTGCATATACAAAATATCATGCTGTCTGTGTTGAAGTATTTAAAATGAATTACATTGTAATGCCACCATTTAGCTTAAATTCTAATAGTGGCCTTTTAAACATACAAAACATCCATTTGAGATGTGGTAACCTCTTTAACGGATCAGTTCAATAAACCTGTTATTAAGGTCCTCTATCACCCTGACAGGCCTGAAATACAGGCTGCACATCAACATCACCTAGGGATGCAGCCAGACCAAGTCAGTCTCTCGTGGTGGGCTCCAAGCATCAGTACTTGTTAATGCT